CCTGCGCTCCTTACAGCCGTGCGGACCCGCGCTCCGCCGCCCACCCTGGGCCTGGAGGGGGGGCGGGGATGGGGCGGGAGAGAGAGACACGACCCAGGAGGGGTCGAGTTCGGAGGCTCGAGCTGCCGGCGGCCACTTCTACCTGCGGGGTGTGCGGAGATCCGGGGCCCTGAGCGCGCCGCTCCCGCCGGGCCTCAGTTTCCCCTTCCAGGTTCCCAAACCTCGGCGCCGCAGCTGCGGAGGTGACGCGCTGCCTCCTGAACACCGGGCCACGCCCCTCCCTTTCCAGTGACCTCTCGGATGGGAGCCCGGTGCAGGCAGCCCGGTCCCCCCCCATCCCGCCCCCCCACACGCACTTCCACTCCCCCCCCACCTGCAGCAGACACGCCCTCACTTTAGTCAGACTGGCTGCCGCTGCATCTCCAGCGAGCTGGACCGGGGAGCGCAGGCGTCAGGGGATTCCGGAAAGTTCCAGAGACAGCCGTGCTCCTCTTCAGATTGCAATCCCTTGGGGGAAACCGCTGCCGACGCTCCCGCCGGATAGGCCGGGACGCTTGACTGGGAAAATTTCAGGCCGGGAACTGAGGGTGAAGCCGGGCTGTTGTTTAGAAAGGCGTCACGGGCCAGCTGTGGCTGGAGTGGACCGGAAGCCCAAGCGAGCGCAGAGGCGGAGATGGCATTCCGGGCTGGAGACCAGGGAAGGCGGAGAGGGAGGACGGAGCGGCCCAATCTGACTAGAACCCGGCTAATGCGTGTTGATACCACAGGAGGGAAGCCCGAGCCCAGTTTACCAAGGGCTTTTATTCTGCAACCAGCTGGAAACTCGGGAAGAACGGTGAACGGAGCTTGGAAGTTGCCACGTCTGTTTTCAGAGGTTGCTGGAGGCTTAGAGGTTGGAAATTAGGCACTGGGGTGGGTAAGAAAGGGACCAGAGTTTCCTGAATATTTCTAATTGTCTCGAACGGTATACCCGTTAGGTTCCTCCTGACAGGTGGACTAGAAGCCGCTGCCAGCTGCTGGCAGGTTCGTGAGGCAGGTACTGTAGGCTTCTGCCCAGCGTGCTGGGGAAGGAAGCCGGTGGCCCTAGTCTAGTGTGGTGTTCGGAGGAGAAGGTGGGGAAGAGGACAGATGCTAGAGTTGAAATTCGGAGGGAGCTCAATGACAGTCAGGGCTGGCTAGTCTCCATCTTGGGACTTGTTCAAGGGTTGCTGATGTCCTAAGCAGAAAGGGTGATGAATGTAGGGGAACCTATACCCCTAGGAGCCACTCACCCCCAAGTCCCATCTTGGCCAGCAAGCAGCATAGGCCTGCTACTCCAAACCTTCTGTTTCTTGTCTGTCTTGTCTCCCTCTCCTGAGAGAGTGCCACAATCAGATGTCTACGGCATAGGGACTGTACGTGAAGGTGTATGAGGCACTCTGAAGGCCCAAGTGCAGCTGGAAGGGCTGGTTAACCAGCCATGGTGGCATAGGCCTGTAATCTCAATACTATCAAGGACGAAACAGAAGGATTGCCTTGCATTGGAGGGCAGCTAAGAACTACAGTCTGAAGAAAGTCAGCCTCAAAAATAAATAAATCAGAAGAAGCTAAAATTTCTCATGGATTTTTAAATCCAAGGTCACCTTAGTAGTTGCCAATTTGTGATCCTTCACATACAGTCCTCCCTGGCCCCAAGTTAAGCAAAACAAGAATCTGAGACTTGAAATGGTATCTAAGGGCCTATGGGAATGAGTATCTGGGAAAAAAAATCTAATAAACTTCCAAGCTCCCAGCGTATAAGAAAATAACGTTGAACATGAATTTCTGCTGTTAATCACTCTCCTTTAAACTTTGCCGAAGTGGTAAGAGCAGAATCTTTTCTGGGCACTCAACCATGTGCTTAGCACACATCTGAGAACTTCACTTGTGCTAACTCATTTTGTAGGTGACTAAATGTGTTCAGAGAAGTAACCTGTGCTTGGCTTCAGCTGTCTGGGAGACTAAGGCAGGAGGATTGCAAATTTAAAGCCTGCCTGAACAACTTAACGAGCCTGTGCCCCCACCCCACCCCACCACCTACACCCCGGACTGTAGAGTAGATTTGGGAGTATAACCAATAGGAGTGCTTGTGTAGTATGCACCAGACTCCAGGATCAATCCCCAGCACACCACAAAAGGAACTCAGTAACTTGCTCAGTGACCCCTTGCCAACAAGAGAAAAGCAAGAACTCAAGCTGTAGTTTTCCATTTTCATAGCCTGATGGTATTTTCATCTGATGATGATGAAGCTTTATTTAAACTTCTAGCATCTCCAGCCTCCTCCCTTCCTACATTTATTATTTATTTGTATAGATGGACACAAATGGAAGTCAGAAGACAACTTGGAGGAGTGTTTTCTCCTTCCACTGTGTGGGTCATGGGGCTTGAGCTCAGGCCATCAAGACTGGTGGCAAATGCCTTTACTTTACCTGGTGAGCCATTTTGCCCCCTCCCACCCTGTTTCTCGAACAGGCTTTCAATATGCGTGTAACCTTACACTGGCCTTGAACCCAGTCTGATCCTCCTGCCTCAGCCTCCTCACGAGTGCTGTGATGACCACTGTGCATCACCATGCCCAGGCTACTCCCAGGATCTTTATGTGTGCACTTCCATGTGACATATCAGCCCACCGATGACGTAAGGGAAGAAGTAGAGGGTTCAAGTTTCGTTAAGGCCTCAGGTGAGTTGTTGCTCCCAGGATGAGGTTGGGGAGTAGGGTGCATCCTTGGCTAGGCCTACAGGTTCTACAGGAAGCAGAGTCCTGACTAGAAGGTATCCATTATATACCATGCAGAGTGTGGAAGATGACAAGGGCAGAGACATTAAATGACTTGGTCAAGTCAGCACAGCTGGTCACTGGCAGATGTGTGAGGAAGGAGCAGACAACGAGAGAATTATCCACTGTCCCAGTCAACAAACATCCTTTGAGGCCAGCTATGCCTGGCACTGTCTCTACAGTTAGCTTTAAAGTATCTGATTGGCTGTTTCCAGTTCTCAATTGCTTGTGGTAGGGGGCAGGAGAGACTATAGTTTTTTTTATGTGCTCCATATAAAAAAAGCACAGGGCATAGCAGGCAGAAAGGAGGTTACTGGGAGAAAGGGATGTCCTAGTTGCAAGAGATCAGAAGAGAAAAATCATTTAGGAAATCAAGACCACAAGGAAAGATGAACATGAAGTCTCCTTCAAGTTCAAGTTTCATCGATCTCTTTCTTTATTGAAGAAACACTAGGGTTTTGGTGGTAGTGGTAAAAAAAAAAAAAAGAAAAGAAAAGATCAGTGTGGCAGGACGCCTCAGCGTGTCAATTACTCATCAAAAGCTTATTGACCTGAGCTCAATTCCCACAGCCCTTGTAAAAGTGGAAGGAGAGAACAAGCTACACGAAGTTGTCCTCTGACCTCCACCTGCACTTTGTGTGTGCACACACATGCACAGAGAGTAATAAATTTTTTTAAAAAGTGGATCAGCCCCACTTTTTTATTATACATAAATGTAAATTTTAAATAGACTAAGTATATAAATGTGAAAAATCTGTTTTGGAATTTTAAAGAGGAATATAGATGGATATCTTTATTTTAATTTGTTGCTTTGATTTGTTGAGACTTATAGCCAAGGACAGTCTTGAACTGAAATTCTCTTCCTCCCAAGTGCTAGGATTATAAGTCTATGCTATCAGCCTGGGAGAGGGTATTTTTATTGCCTCAGCCTGTGGGAAAATTCTGTAAGTTAAAAATAAGAATAAAATATAAAGATGAAAAATTTGACCACACTGGAGCTTAAAACTTTATGAAAAATATTTAAAACTAGAAAAGGCAAGCTATAGCGTCATACTTTCAATGCATACCAAGGTCTTCAAAGATCTAAGGTAGCTTGGATAGCTAAGAACATCTATCCTCCACAACCCAGTCATGAAAAATATCCCAAGATCAATAAATGTGTATGTGTGTGTGTGTGTGTGTGTGTGTGTGTGTGTGTGTGTGCTTATGGGCCCTGTAAGTTTATATCTGGAGGCGGTCACTGTTTTGCCTAGACTGGCTAACCAATGAGTCCCTGGGATCCTGAGATTGGACTTCTATGTGGGTGCTGGGAACTCAAACCCAGGTCCTTCCTCAAGCTTGTGTATCAGGCTTTACCTAGAGCAATTTCCCAATCCGTCTGTGTTGATATTTCTTAGAGATTCTCCTCTAACTTCTATCAAAGGTGATTTGGAGGTAAAAATTAGTCTAAGTCCAGCACTCAATCCCACCTCAGACAAAGCAGTGATAAAAACAGAAATCCTGGGGGGCAGAATTCAGGGTCTCCAGGCTCTCCTGAAATCAGCAGCTCCAGCTGCTGTCTGGTGCCACAGTGCCTGGCAAATCCCCGGAGCTAGATGTAGGCCGTCCCCTGGTACTGCTTTTGTTCTCTTTCCTTAGCAGGAGGGCCACATCTATTTCCCCTGGCATGCTTCTGAACAGATGGGCACTTAAGGGGCATGGCTCCAGCATAGACAACAAGGATCTAGAGCTTCGGTCACAGAGGACCAGAAGCTTTGCCTCAACATCTCAAGTTATCCGTGCCCGAAGGCTATTCTCCACAACCCGGTCAGTCACAGCGTTCTGTGAGGAAAGTATCCCAAGAGAGTAAACACCAAGCACTAGAACAGTGCACACTCTGGTTCCACTGGGGTGCAAGGGATGGTCATAAGCCCCATTAGAATAATAAAGTTCTGAGAAGGTCTATAAAACTTCATTTAAGTCCACAATCCTTCCTAAACTTCGACCCTATTTCTTCCTGGTTGAATACACAGTGATTGAACCCCTGCTGCTCACTCAGCCTGTTTCCTCTCCAGGAAAGGTATCAGGGAGGGTCAACGGGGCTTATCACAGGTGTGGAGGCTCTGATCCTCACTATTCTATGCCACGGTGCATACTTAGGACCGAGTGCTCAGAATCTGTACTTTTTTTTTAATGTTAAAGACTGCTTCATGCATTACATTTACATTTTTCTACATTTATTTTACGTATGTGCCACAGCACAAGTGTGGAAATCAGAAGATGACGTGGTTCTCCCCTTCCACCAGGTGTCTCAGGGTCGTTAGGCTTGGAAGCAAGCACCTTTGTCTGCTCAGCTAATAAGATGGGGTCTTGGAATCTATTTGTGAACAGGGTTCCCAAGAGACTGAAGAAAGGTTTCTTGAGAAGCATGGCCGTATATCTTCTCTTTCTCCTCCACTAAGATGGCCAATCGGGTCATCTCACAAGCTGGGAGGGGATCAAAGCTCCAGGCCTTCTATCTGGATATAACTGGTGTATTTTGAACTGCTACATATTTGGGGAATTCCCCATATGATGAGTCCCTTCTTCCCAAAGGGCTTATGAGGGAAACCAAGGCAAACTGCCAGCCACTAATGGGAACCTGCTTCTGCTCAGATGTAGAAAAGGGCTGCCAGGTGAGGGCTGGGAAGCTGGCACCGCGGTAAAGTGTTTGCCAGGCAAGTGGAAGGACCCCAAACCCCACATGAATACTGTATGTGTGTAGCAGCCTACCTGTAATTCCAGCCTGGGAAAGTGGGGACAGGATTCCCAGAGCGAGCTGGTTGGGGACACTAAGCATATCAGCGAACTGGGTGTGACTGAGAGACCCTGCTTCAATGAATAAGTTGGAAGAATGAGCAAGAGTGATGACTGACACCAACTTCAGACCCTGACATACACATGCATGTATACATAATACACACATGTTCATATTATGTGTACACACACCACAGTGAGCCCACAAACATGCAATACAGTTACAC